ACTCCAGGTTTACTTGCGGAGTACCACAGGGTTCAGTGCTTGGACCAATTCTTTTTACTATATATATGCTCCCAATTGGTAAAATCATTAGACAGCATGGGATAAACTTCCACTGTTATGCTGACGACACTCAGCTATATTTATCCATTAACCCTGATGAACCTAATCGGTTGGGTAGATTACAGGCTTGTCTTGAGGGCATAAAAAGTTGGATGACTCTAAACTTCTTGCTTTTAAATCAAGACAAGACGGAAGTTCTCATCTTTGGACCAGAAATCCAGAAAAGGAAATTGCTTAGCCAATCGCCTGACCTGAATGGCATTACATTAATCTCCGAGAACAAAGTAAGGAACCTTGGTGTTATCTTTGACCAGGACATGTCATTCAAATCCCAGGTTAAACAGGTTTGTAGGATTTCCTTTTTCCACCTTCGGAATATTGCTAAGATTAGAAGCATCCTTTCCAGGAGTGATGATGAAAAACTAGTTCATGCATTTATTACATCAAGACTGGATTACTGTAATTCATTACTCTCAGGAAGTCCACAGAATGTAGTTAAAAGTCTTCAGCTTGTCCAAAATGCTGCAGCTAGAGTTCTGATGAGAATTAAAAAGAGAGATCATATCTCTCCTGTCTTAGCTTCCCTACATTGGCTACCTGTTAAATTCAGAATAGATTTTAAGATCATTCTTCTCACATATACAGCTCTTAATAATAAAGCTCCATCATACATCAGTGATCGGATTGTTCCATACATTCCTAACCGAGCACTTCGCTCTCAGACTGCAGGTCTACTGGTGGTTCCCAGAATATCTAAAATTAGGATGGGAGGCAGATCTTTTAGTTATCAGGCTCCTCTCCTATGGAACCATCTCCCAGCTTTAGTCCGTGAGGCAGACACTTTGTCTACTTTTAAGAATAGGCTTAAAACATTTTTATTTGATAGGGCCTATGGTTAAAATCTGATGTTAGCCTAAATCTGGACAAGTGGGGGAGTACAGGGAGGTGGAGTGTACAGTCGGTAAAGACAGCTCTCCCTTGCCCTGACTCCAACATGCCTCCATCTAAATAGGATAGATTATCCAGAGTTATCTCTGTTGTTATGCTGCTATAGGCTTAGACTGCTGGAGGATACACTGACCACTTTCCACACTCTACTACTTTCTTCTACAATCTGCTCTTTAACTGTACTATTTTCTGCAATTTCAGCTGTTAACTTTATTTTCTCTCTAAGTGTTTTTCTCCCCAGAAGAAGCTACAATGATGTTCTGCTGAGCTGTGGTGGCCTCATAGAGGGGGCCATTGACTAGCACACTGCTGCTAACCACTAAAACATTATCCCTCTCCTGATAATGGCTTTTTGCTTTCCTTGACGTTGGATGTGCTACTACTAGTTTATCTGTTTAATTATAGATCCACTAGGATAAATACAATAAAGTTTATCTTTCACCAAACACAATATTTACTAAGACATCACAATATAACTATAGACACATTACTTGTCTGTCTGTCGGTCTTCTCCATCCCCAGTGAGTCGTGGAGGATGGCTGCTTATACTGAGCCAGGATCCTCTGGAGGTTTCTTCCTGTTAAAAGGGAGTTTTCCTCTCCACTGTCGCTGCATGCTTGCGTAGTATGAGGATTGCTGTATAGTCACTGACACTAGTCAGTGACTTGATGCAATTTGCTGGGTTCCTTATGTAGGAAAAATTATTTCTGATTGGCTTAATGAACTGACCTGTATTGGAATGTTTATTATGTGAAGTGCCTTGAGACGACTCTTGTCCTGATTTGGCGCTTTATAAATAAACTTAAATTGAATAATTTTGAGATTGGTTAAACTAGAAAAGCCAACCTTGCTATACTCACCACCGATCAACATTTACTCATCAGATCTGTACGAGGTAACCCATTTTGGGTTCAAAACAGCAAATTTCATCAAAAGGTGAGGGATTTCCATGTCTGAAGATAGAGGGAAACCAGTGGATCCTGAGGAAGGTGGAATAGGTGGGGAGAGCAGAATAAAGAGAGAGAGGTGAAGAAGGTCATCCAAAAGCCAGCTTGAACAAGTGAGTCTTCAGCTGCTTTTTAAAGGAGACCACTGAGTCCACTGATCTCAGGCTCAGGGGGAGAGAGGTCCAGAGTCTGGGGGCCACAGCAGCAGATGATCTGTCACCTTTGACCTTTAGCCTGGTGCTGCAAAACCAGTAGGCTTTGGTCACTGGACCTCAGGGACCTGCTGGGGGTGTAGGGACTAAGATCACCAATGTAAGATGGTGCTTGTCCATGTAAGGCCCTATAGACCAGAACCAGGATCTTGAAATGAACCCTGAAGTTGACTGGCAGCCAGTGAAGCTGGAGGAGAAGCGGGGTGATGTGGGTGTGTTTGGAGGACTTGGTCAGAAGCCGAGCACAGGCGTTCTGAACCACCTGTAGACGGTTCAGGGAGGTTCTGCTCAGACACGTGAAAAGAGAGTTACAGTGGTCTAAGCGTGAGGAGATGAAGGTGTGGAGAACTGTCTCAAGTTCAGAGCGGGACAGAATGGGACTCAGCTTAGCGACGTTCCTGAGATGGAAGAAGGAAGCTTCACTGTATGTAAAATCTGACTTGCATAAAGAAACACCCCCAATTAAACATATTTGGTCATACTATGTCCTCAGCAAATAATTTACTGACAGCAAGATCAAAGCACTGGCTGCCAAAGCACAAAAGAAAGTTTTAGAGGTTATGAATGCAGTCGGGACGGAGGACAGGTTACCCTCGGGAATAAATAAAAGAATGAATCTGATAAATCGTAGAGTAATGGGTTGTCATTTACATTTAAGGAGTCGCTCTGTTTTGAGATAGACAACATTTCCAAATAAAACTGAGTGCAGCATCCTCTGAGCTGTCATTCAGTCTGGTTACTTTGGCAACGCGGTGTGTATGATGGTGGAGCAGAGGAGGTTCTGGAAGGTTCTTGTGTTTGTAAAATAAAATATGAAGTAGAATCAGGTTCGTGTGGTTTGTCTCTCACACAAAGGGTCTAAAGCCACAGTAAATGAGAAAGATTTTCTTTGAGATCAGGGCGCTCATGGAGAACGCGTTCCCTCCAGAGAGCACGCTCTGTTAAGTTCTCCAATAAAACAGATCAGCCATGGTATGATGTCAGATTCCCGTCAGGCACAGGTGTCTTATAGGTTTTAGCTCCAATAATGAGACAGCTGTTTTCTCCACCTAAATAATTGTTTATTGGGTAAATATAATTTGTGGGTGAGGAACATGCATGGATGACTGAGACATTCAGAGCTGCGGTTCCCCGTTCTACCACTAGATACTCTTTGTGCGCACGGGATCAGATTTTCTTACATTTAGGAACATTTTTATGCACAGGTACAAATAGGCAAATACCACACTGAGAAAATTTGTGCCTACACACAGATCTGTGCATTAGTACCATTGATAAATGAAACCCAGGTTTGAGACAGAATTAGATCATTGAGCAGGAAGGACTTATTGTTAACAGAGCGGGTATTTAATAGAGCCATGCTGAGTGAGGTGGAGGAATCAGAAACTACAGAACCAGCTGGAGTTAGTGGACGTAAATTAGCAGGGTTAGATCCACAGTGTTTATAAAAACCACTTATGGAGGGAACAGGAGGAGAAAACACTGAAGGAAAAACAGACTAGAAAACATGGACGGAGAAACCACACCGCATCACGGCCTGGCGGGAATGTGAAAGTGGTATTCAGGTCGCCAACAAATGGCAAGAGGCTAAAAGATCATGCCAATGTTTACTAGATACACCTCACTTTAAGAGAAGTCTTACTCTCACCTGCATTCCTGCTTATTTACCTTTCTTCCTCTGACGTTCTCATGGGATTGGATAATCATCCCTGGAGGCGTTCGGGTAGGAATCAGCGTTTGGCTCCAGGCCAGCGCACTGCTCACGTAAAAACAGGGAGGTAAACTCTCAGTGCATCTTGGGTGATCGCGGACGAATGGAGGGACAAAAGTCTGGCGACCATAGGGGATGGTTGCCAGCACCCTACTGAAGAGGATCGCGAACAGAAGCAAGGCGGAAAGGAGGTTAGTAGAGAAAAGGTTGAAAAAGTGTCCGGTGACCGCGGCTAATCCCAGCGCAGGCGCCATCTTGTTATCAACCCTGTCATATATCAGGTCCAAAATTGTGCATTTAATTGTGTTTATATTGTGTTTTTTGTATTTCACAGGCTTATTAACACAGACAAATTTGTCCCTCATTCTCCTCCACTTCATGCGCTCACCACCTCTAACCCAAGTTTCCCATCATTTCCATGCACAAATGAAACACTTGCTGCCTTTTTTTTTTTTACTTCTCCAGTCACCGAGAAATACATTTTATTTATTTTTTTAGAGTTTTTCCACGAGGTACTCTTAAATCTGTTCTGTGTATGCTGCCTGTTATCTTTGTTTTTGAGGGCGCAATGGTGGTGCTGTTGACAAAGAGTGCCGTTCTGACCAATCACAAGCTTGCGTTCTCAATCTCGTTTGATGGATGTTTAGAAAAATGGGCTCGACTCCCATTTGTCCTTGTGAGGGCTCTCCAGCAGGCTCACAAGGACACACACACACACACACACACACACACACACACACACACACACACACACACACACACACACACACACACACACACACACACACACACACACACACACACACACACACACACACACACACACACACACACACACACACACACACACACACACACACACACACACACACACACACACACACACACACACACACACACACACACACACACACACACACACACACACACACACACACACACACACACACACACACACACACACACACACACACACACACACACACACACACACACACACACACTAGGATGGAGTTTTAGTCCACCCTATGAAACTATTAGATGTGTTATGAAGCTATTGATCCCAGATTGACTCGGGTGGGTTTTTTAAGATTTTAGTTGTGATAACCTTTGACCTCTTACCTCTCCTGGGCGGATTTTGATGTAAAAGTTGTTCCTTTTGTAAGAAATCTTCACAATCTTCGGCCACGAGAAACGGTTGATCCTTAGTCTGTCTCTGTAGACCAGAAGACCACTACTGCACACTCCCAACATGATGGCCATGCCCTCTGGGTCCTACACCCCCGACACACACACAAGAGTTAACACATGAGCTAATAACAAATACCAGAGATAATAGATAATATTAGATAAAGAAATCAGATGAAGAAATCAATTGGATCAGTATCGGATGTCCAGATTCTAACTGAAAGTTCTAACCCGTAAAAAGAAGTGAGGGTCTAAAAACCAATGTTTGGACCTTCGAGAGCAAAATTATAGTTTGAGAGCAGTGCTGGATCAAGATGGTTCTGTTGTTGCTACTGATTGGCTGCCTAGCTAAAGCAACTCTAAACTTTCATGTTGGAAAATGAATTTCAGTCCCCCTGGAACCCACACAGATGTATACCTGGTCCAGGCAGAGCTGGACCGTGTTTTTGTGATTTATTGAGAGCTGGAAGCACAAAAGCAGTCAGCATCAGCAGCAGGTTTTCAGGACACTCCTGATCCCAACTTCACCGGTACGTATAAACGATAAATAAGGATGATGTTAAGACTCCAGGTTCTGGTTCCGGGTGGGTCAAGCCCAGTTTTCTAAAGACTGAGGGGTTGCAGAATTAATGTGTGTTCTCAGACCTTTCCTGTGAGACACCTGAACCTCACGTCAGTGTTCAGGCTGGTAGATCTCTACTCCCTCTAACATCACACCACCACAACGGACTCTACTGAACACACATTTTTCTGGTTTCTTTGTTTGATCTACTCCAGTACAACAGAAAACGAGGTGTTCCTCAAATCCTGCAGCTCTCCCAATCGTGTTCTTGTTTCTGAACTCAAGAGCCCACTGAGAACATCTATACCTTTGCATGATGAAGGTCCACACCATACATGGAAAGCTTCTTCACATTCTCCAGGAAGTGCATCTCTGCTTCAGCAGGAGTCATTCCTCTAAACACAGAACACATGATCAAATGGCAGCAACTCACCTGAACTCACTGAAGTTCACACTAAACATATGACACACAAAAACCTGTATGTTTTGTGCAGCTCCATGATCTTCGCCTCCATCTCTTTAGTTTGATTTGGAGCAAAGCACAGCTCGCTAGTGTAGTCTGGACCACATTCTTCTGAAAACAGCAGAGAGGTCAGCAGTGAGTTTACAGCAAGTATGAGGATTAAAGGTGTGTTTTTCTCACCTGGATCGTAGTCTCCAAGCTCCGACTGAACCGTGTAAGAACCAAGGATTGTGTGAGTTGCAAATGAACAAGGAAGACGACCAGAAACAACATCTTGTCTGAGCTGGAGACACAGGAAGTACCTGCAAATGAACAGGTAAGATGTTACCCATCTCCTTAGGTGAAATATAAAAGACTTATCTCCCTCTGTTCTTAGTTTAAGCATGTGTATTTACTATACTGTTACGTCTTGTTGGGTGTCCTGAAAGGTCCCACTATTATTTATATATAGTATATTATTAACGCCATTATTATTAGCATTAGGTGTGTGACTGTACCTGGTTATGTCCTCAGACAACTGGGCGGGGTTGGAAGGGTAAAACTTTACATTAAATGTGAAGTTCCAGGGAACACCTGAGAAATATAGAACCAATCATCTTCTACTAACAGCTTCAAAAGGTGAGTCTGCATTTCCTAAATGAACCAATCACCAATAACTGACCTCTGACCTGCTTCTTGATTTCTTTGGCTGGATCCAACCAATTCTACAAAACAAAGGCCAGAATCAGAAAACAGTGTTACAAACATATGAGACAGACAGACAGACAGGTAATGGGCTGCATTTGTAAAGTAGGGTTCTACAACACAATCAGTCATCCACACATTAACACACCCATTCACACGCTGGTGGGGATGAGCTACGATGTAGTCTGCCAACTGTCTCTCTGACCACCACCTGCAGGCAAGGTGGGTGAAGTGTCTTGCCCAAGGACACAACGGCAGGATACCCCTGACGGGAGCTGGAATCGAACCCATGACCCTGCGATCATGAGGCAACCCGCTCTACCACCTGAGCTACTGCTGCCCCACAAGAGCAGCATTCTCTGGTCGGAGCCGGGATCGAACCAGCAACCTTCTGATTACCGGATAACCTGCTTTACCTCCTGAGCTACTGCTGTCCCCAGGTGATCTGACCTGGCAGATAATCAGAGAGACTGATGTACAAATTGAAAAGTTATCAGACAGACAGGTGATCAGATACCTTTACCTTATTGTTGTCTGCATCTCTGAAGGACAAAGCAAAATAATCCTTTTCCAGCAGGTTGATATATTCATAAACTTTTTCCAATAGCTGCAAGCCTCGGGCCCGTTTCTACAGAGAATCACATGAAACCGGTTATGAAGCAACCTCTAATCCATACTGTCTCACTGGCAAAATGTTGTGCTCTGGTTCTGTCAACACCTGTCTCACCTCCATGTTGCAGGTAAACAATGATCCATCCAGTAGTGTGACTTTGATCTGCATCATTCTGAAACTCAGAGGGTTTCTGACTGGTGATCGCGTGATGTGACTGCTTGATGTCATGTGGCTGGTCGGGTCCTCAACTAATGAGCTTTGGCTTTGACTCTGGCACACCTCACCCTGCCCCTCCAAATGACAATAAGTGAGGTCACACTGTAGCATCCAGCAGTGAGGCCAATGATTTCATTAGTCTTTTATCAAAATACTCACCTGTTTTGGTGTAGAGTAGGCAGCAGCTTCAGGAAAATACTGCACCTCTGTTTGGGCCTCACCTGGCTCTGTTATCATGATGATCCACCTGCCAAACAGTGACAGTTAGATGCTGTGGTTACCTTAAGATAGGGGTTGACAGCTCATTTCCCCAGGGGCCAGTGCCCAGCTTGATTTAGTGGTTTCCCTGATGTATCACACCTGAGCTGAATTAGAATGTGATTAACAGCTTCTGCAGAGCCTGATGAGCTGCTGAATCAACAGGGTAAAAATAACAGGAAGCTACAGCTGATTGTTGGACTACATTAAAAAACACTGCTAAGAGCAAAATGTCATTCTTTCTGGTGCTTTCATTGCTGTTGCAATGATGAGAATTTAGCTTACTTCACATTTGGACAGTGTTGATGATGCTTCTAATGAGCAGATCAATGAGAGCATGCTGCAGGAGCAAAGGCCCTAACCCTAACTCCAGGATTACTGACTCCACAAACAATGCTAAGGTGGACTCAATTCTCTCTTATTCAAGCGAGGATGAGCAAGCGAGGCGCTCAAGCATCCACGCTATATTAAAGGCAACCCCTATGTTACGGTTGTCAGTCTGGCCAGGGGAAAGAAGCAGCCAGGATCACCAAGCCCTGGTGAATCAGCCTGACACCGCCCCACCTCCTCATCTCTCCCGGGCTGCTGAGGAGCACAGCTGCGAGGAATTATCCTAATGAGCAAACACCTGCATATAAAGGCTGTGCCTTCAGCAGTCTGGGAGGCAGTCTACCAAAAGTCAAATAGATATTTTATATGAAATATATGAGACCATATTTAGATTAAGGAAATTGGGTACAGAAGTTAACTTTTAATAGGCACCGGCACATAGAGGAGTAGAAGGAAATGAAATGGCAGATGTTTTTGCAAAAAAGACAATAAGAGAGAGAGAAATAATAAATATTGCATAAAGTGCCGCTGAAATTAAATCTATCATTAAAGCACATATAATGGAAGAGTGGCAAAGAACGAGAGAAAGGAAGAGACAGGAAGACATTTATTTCAGATACAAGGGAAAGCAGGAAAATGGAAAAATATAAGGAGGAATAGTAGAGATGAAAGAATAATATCAAGATTAAAATTGGGACATACTGGTGGGCTTAATAATATGATGCATCTGATGGGGAAACATCCCACAGGTGTGTGTGGATGTGGGGTGGGGGGAGAAACGGAGGAACATGTTTTAGGTAACTGCATAAAATACGAGGGAAGTAGAGGACAACTCAGGGAGAAATTAAAAACATAGGAGGTGGAGTGATAAGTGTAAAGAATTTGTTAAATGGTGAAGAAAGGAAATATAAGTTGGTTATTGAGTATCTAAAACACAGTGGTTTGTTAAATAAATAAACAGTTCTATTCATTTATTTATTCATTTATTTATTTATTTGATACGCTCTTACTCTGACTCACACTCGTGGCGGAAATGCACCTAGAAGTTACATGCCACCCGCCAATAAACAAGAAGAAGAAGAAGTCTGCCAATAAACAAGAAGAAGAAGAAGTCTGGGAGGTAGCAGTGCAGGGGTTCTGCTGTCCTCCCGGTTTCGTTTGTTTTCAACCCCTTTCGTTTAGATTTGTTTGAATTTGTTTGAGTTTTAAACTGTGGTACTTTTTAACTCTTGATGATAAGTTTGGGATGATCCAGTGGGATCTTTTGATGTTTGTGTTCGCTTTTAAGGTTAACTTTGTTCGGGCTATTTTACTGACCTTGGTTTTTAAACACCTTCATGTGGTAAAGCTTTTTAAAATAAGTTTTACTAGATTTTTTAGTCAGTGTATTGTTTTGGGAACAGTTATCAACTTTGGAGATTTTAAAGCACCTTCTGCTCGGTTAAGCTTTTAATATACGTTTTAACCAGGTGTTTTAAAGTTGATGATTTGCTGTGTAATGTTAACCATTCAGAGAGATCTGTTTGCTTGTGTTTTAATACCTTTTTGTTACACATAAACCCATTTTAAACTCCTCCGCCAGTTCTTATGTTCTCCCCCTCCTTCACTTTTTATAACACCTGTCGGGGTTTGTAACACCCTATTAATGCATGCTAGATAAATGGGAATATTAGGAAAGAAAACAGCTTCGTTCTTCCCCTAGACAGAGGAAGAATTATAAATTCATGCCTACAAGGACTACAAAGATATCAGAACTAAAATAGAGGCTACCAGCTGCTTGATTAAAGCTGAGAAGTAGGTCTTATTTAGAAAGAAAGAAAGAAAGAAAGAAAGAAAGAAAGAAAGAAAGAAAGAAAGAAAGAAAGAAAGAAAGAAAGAAAGAAAGAAAATAAATATTTTATATAGGGCCTCAAGAAATAAATCACGAAGCTCTTCACAATTTATTTATATATATATATATATATATATATATATATATATACATATATATATATATATGTGTATATATGTATATATATATACATATATACATATATATATATATATGTATATATGTATATATATATATGTGTGTATATATATATATACATATATATATATATATATATATATATATATATATATATATATATATATATATATATATATATATATATATATATACACACACATATATATATATATATATATATATATATATATACACACATATATATATGTGTGTGTGTGTATGTATGTATACACAGTGAGGAACATGAGTATTTGAAGACCTTGCAATTTTGCAAGTTCTCCCACTTAGAAATCATGGAGGGGTCTGAAATTCACATTGTAGGTGCGTTCCCACTGTGAAAGACAGAATGTAAAAAAAAATCAGGAAATAACATTGTATGATTTTTGAAGAATTTATTTGTTTTGCACTGCTGCACATAAGTATTTGAACACCTGGCAATCAGCAAGAATTCTGGCTCTCAAAGACCTGTTACTCTGCCTTTAAGAAGTCCACCTCTACTCCACTTAGTAAGCTTAATTAGTAGCACCTGTCTGAGCTCTTTAAAGACACCTATCCACCCGGCAGTCAGTCAGACTCCAACTACTACCATGGGCAAGACCAAGAAGCTGTCAAAAGAAACGAGATAAAATCGTGGACCTCCACAAGACTGGAAAGGGCCACGGCTGGGTAGGCTTATCAGGATCTGCTCTGGAGTGGTTCTCCTCTTATCTTTCTGAGCGTTCCTTTTCTGTGGCCGTCTCCAAGTTTAGGTCCTCCACCACCTCCCTTACCCATGGTGTCCCACAAGGTTCTGTGCTGGGGCCTCTGCTCTTCCTTCTCTATTTGCTTCCTCTTCAGCACATCCTGAGCTCCTTCAAAGGAATCTCCTACCATCTTTATGCAGATGACATCCAGCTGTACATCTCCTTTAAGCCCCATGAGATGTCTAAGCTGCAGCTGTTACACACCTGCTTAGCCTCTATCAAAACCTGGATGGTGGGAGCTTTCTTCAGCTGAATGAAGATAAGACTGAGATCCTCATCTGTGCCCCAGACAAGCTGGTTCCCAAAGTCAGAGACTCTCTTGGTCAGCTTGCTTCCCACACCAAACCTTCTGTCAGGAATCTTGGCATGACCTTTGACCCAGCTCTCACCCTGGATTCTCATGTCAGTTCTCTTGTTGGCTCTTCCTTCTTCCATCTCAGGAACGTTGCTAAGCTGAGTCCCGTTCTGTCCCGCTCTGAACTTGAGACAGTTCTCCACACCTTCATCTCCTCACGCTTAGACTACTGTAACTCTCTTTTCACATGTCTGAGCAGAACCTCCCTGAACCGTCTACAGGTGGTTCAGAACGCCTGTGCTCGGCTTCTGACCAAGTCCTCCAAACACACCCACATCACCCCGCTTCTCCTCCAGCTTCACTGGCTGCCAGTCAACTTCAGGGTTCATTTCAAGATCCTGGTTCTGGTCTATAGGGCCTTACATGGACAAGCACCATCTTACATTGGTGATCTTCTTAGTCCCTACACCCCCAGCAGGTCCCTGAGGTCCAGTGATCAAAGCCTACTGGTTGTGCAGCACCAGGCTAAAGGTCAAAGGTGACAGATCATCTGCTGCTGTGGCCCCCAGACTCTGGACCTCTCTCCCCCTGAGCCTGAGATCAGTGGACTCAGTGGTCTCCTTTAAAAAGCAGCTGAAGACTCACTTGTTCAAGCTGGCTTTTGGATGACCTTCTTCACCACTCTCTCTTTATTCTGCTCTCCCCACCTATTCCACCTTCATCAGGATCCACTGATTTCCCTCTTTCCTGTTCACTCTCTCTCTTTCTTTACATTTTTAATCACAACTGTCTATTTTTGCTCATTTTAAATATAATTTTAACCATTTTCTAAATTCCTTCTTTATTTTTACTTTTTTTGTTTTTGTGAAGCGCCTCGTGATTTTTATCTTGAGAGGCACTATAGAAATGATATTTTCTTCTTCTTTTTCTTCTTCTGTCACAATCTGCCCCTGCCCTCCTGACTGTCTCTCTCCTGCCCTGATTATATTGTTCTCACCTGCCCCTTGTTAACCTGCCCATGTTTTCCTAATTACTTGTAAGTCGCTTTGGACAAAAGCGTCTGCTAAATGCATAAACATACATAAACATACATAATTAACCTTGTGTATTTATACCACCTGTTTTGCTCCTGTCCTTTGTCGGATCATTGTATGTGCATGTCTCGTTTTGTCCTGTCACTCCTGTTGCTATTAAATCCATTTTTATTTCATCCGTGCCTGCTCTTCTGCCTCCTGGAACCCTCCACCACACTTGGTCCACCATCTCCACCCTCACAACATGACAGAATGATCCGACCAAACCTGGACCTGTGGTGAGCTAACACCTGTTTTTCTGGAGGATTATTTTTTCTTTTTCCCCCCCTTTTCAGCGGAGGGAGATTCCGGCCTGGAGTTGTGTTTCTCGGCGCATCCTACCTGTTCTCGGGGTGGTCGAGTCCTCTGGGTGTTCCTGGCGCATCCTATCAGTTTCCGGGGTGGTCAAGGTCTTTTCTCCTCTCCTGTTGTTCTGCCCCGTCCTGTTTTTTACGGAAGCTGCCGTTTCCTGGAGTTTTGATGGAGGTAAAACCCCCCACGCACGCCAACATTCTCCGGGGTGGTAGGGCTGGTCTTCCACTCCATGTCTGCTTCCCTTCACCCGAGCCTGCCTGTGAACACTGTCGAGTCACGGTGTGCACCTGCTCAGAACTGTGGTCGAGTACCTGCTACCGCTCCTGGGTTCCTCGCGTCGCTCCTGCTGTTTCGTCCCACTTCCTGGTCCACGCCTGCAGGGTCTATGCCTGCAGGTCCTTCACTCTGCAGTTCCTGCTGGGTCCTATGCCTGCTGCTGCAGATCCTGCTGGGTCCCACGCCTGCTGCTGCAGTTTGTTTCCAGTCAAGTCTTCGTGTTCCAGTCAAGTCTTCGTGTCCCAGTCAAGTCTTCGAGTCCGAGTCAAGTCTTCGAGTCCCTGTTCCAGAGTCAAGTCTTCGAGTACCTGTTCCCGAGTCAAGTGTTCCCAGTCTCCTGTGTTGTGTGGCCTTGTGGGCGTCTGGTATCTGCCCCTTAAGGGGTGGGGGGGGTACTGTCACGATCTGCCCCTGCCCTCCTGACTGTCTCTCTCCTGCCCTGATTATATTGTTCTCACCTGTCCCTCGTTAACCTGCCCATGTTTTCCTAATTAGCCTTGTGTATTTATACCACCTGTTTTGCTCCTGTCCTTTGTCGGATCATTGTATGTGCATGTCTCGTTTTGTCCTGTCGCTCCCGTTGCTATTAAATCCATTTTTATGTCATCCGTGCCTGCTCTTCTGCCTCCTGGAACCCTCCACCACACTTGGTCCACCATCTCCACCCTCACAACATGACATCTTCTTCTACGGGGAAATTGCCAAGCAGCTTAGTGAAAATAGATCAACTGTTGGAGCAATTGTCAGAAAATGGAAGAGGCTAAATACGACTGTCTCCCTCGGACTGGGGCTCCATACAAGATCTCATCTCGTGGGGTATCACTGATGACAAAGGTGAGGAATCAGCCCAGAACTACACGGGAGCAGCTGGTTAATGACTTGAAGAGAGCTGGGACCACAGTTTCAAAGGTCACTGTTGGTAGAACACCATGCCGTCATGGTTTCAAATCACGCATTGCATGAAAGGTTCCCCTGCTCAAGTCATCAAATGTCCAGGCCCATCTGCAGTTTGCCAATGACCATCTGGATGATCCAGAGGAGGCATGGGAGAAAGTCATGTGGTCAGATGAGACCAAAGTAGAACTTTTTGGTCTAAACTTCACTCGCTGT